TAAAGTACAATGAACGGTTAGCAGTCAGATATATGTAAATATTAACAGTCAAGCTGTAAAAGTAGTATGTCGGAATATTTATGGAAATTTATTAATCAAAACATTTATTAAAATAAATATATACCGTACATGTGTAAATAGGTACGTATGTATATGCGCTTCGTGTGACAATATTTAAATGCATACAAGTTATATAAGTACCTACATACAAATATTTATAGCATAGACAGACGGCAACCTTAATACGCATTAACGGCAGTATTGCAGATTGAGCGAGCGGAGAGGTGCTGAATTCGAATCCAGCAACATTTTGTTAGCTCATTCAGTTATCACTTTTATTTTTATTTTAACGTAATAATAGTTGTTGCGATATTTTCAATAAAATTAGCTCTAATAAATTAAATTAACTCGAAATAATTTTTTGAAATAACATTAAAAAATAATAAAACAAATTAAATTATTAATAAAAAATTAAAGACGATTTTTAATAATAGCTCAGAGTGGCAATCGAACCTGGGTCTCAATGAGTTTTAGTACTTAGTTCTTATCACTCGGCTACGGCGGATGCCAAACTCGTTTGCTTCGCTTACTTACTTACATACTTACATATTTGCTCAGAGAACATAGAGCACAGAGACAATGCAATACTAGCCTCATCGATGGCAGCGAATTCAGCATAAAATTGAATTCCTTTCCTCATTAGTAGATATGGTGAATGCAATTCTCTGCATTTTGATCAGTGCTGTCATCGAAAACGAGCATTAACACCAGTACTTAATCTATATCAACGCTGCCGTCTGTCTATGGTTTTATATACATACCTACATACTTCTGTGCGTGGGTTCATTAGCATTTGCCTGCCACTCAAAACACGCTCTGTTGATAATAATATTTAGCGTAATTAACATTTGCAGTTGTACTTCCGTTGGTTGGCGAATATTTGCACTGTATCAATTTCGCGTGAGTGACAGTTTTATATTTAGTAACTGTACATTTACATTTATTTGCATGCACATTTTAAAAACATACATACGTGATCGAAAATTTAACAAATCAATTACACTTGAATGAAGTTTTAGTTGCAAGGACCTGATCAATATAGATCCCACTTGTCTCAGAAAGGAATTAATCGTTTGTATGTAGATCCCCTGTAACCCCATAAATCTATAAAGCCCGCGTTTACTGGATCCGATACTCGTTTAATTGGACCGTTCGCATTTTAAATGTTTATTAAATTTTTTGAATGATATTTATACAATATTTTTAACTTTAAACGGATATAAGGAATAAAAGCAATTTAAATTTAATATTGTGCGAGGAAATCTATTAAACGGGGGTCAATTAAGCGAGGAATACTGTATACTAATTTGTTTCCAGTAGCGTGAAGTACTCCATTCAAAAGAGAAGCTTTCACGCTGAGCAGCTGTCGGGCGTTGCACAGTGGTTCAAAACCGAAATTTAGTGTTGATAACTCACTGGAGCCTTAATTTTTCAATAAATGATTTCGCGAAATAACTAACACAACACGATTTTAAATGATTTTTGGAATTTTCGGAGGGGCTTTCCCTATAAAACCTTAACAGCTTATTATTTGATTTGAGCATTTTGTAAATCACCACTGAGATTTAAAGTGAGCTAGCTGCTCTCTATTATGGGAGGGAATTACATAGAGAAGTTTCGAAATAATTTTAATAAATGGAAGCTTGGTACAGAAATTATAAAAAATCAAATTAATCAAAAAAAAAAGTACCAATTGCGATGCGATATAAAAGAAATTGTCGAACAACCGTTAGCTAAAAAAATTATTAAAAAGGAACGCAGTTTTCTGGCGTCTTGAAATTTGCACTAAAAATTTTCTGGAAATTCTGAATAAAAATTTTGAAATTTTTGCGTGTAATTGGTAAAGTTTGTTGAATTTGTATACAAAGTTTGAAATGTGTTTTTATATGGTGCTGGCAATATATGTAAGGTGCTAGGCTTTTATAAAAAAATAAATAACAAAAATGAAATAAATAAAAGAAAAATAGCCAAAATCGGTCGAAATGTCACTTAACTTAATCAGCTGACCGCAAGTGTACATATCAATCAACGCACAAAATATGTATGTATGTATATATGTAAATTTTCATATATGCCCGTTTGTAGACGCAAACCGAATTTCCTAAAATGAAAACGAAAAAAATTGTTGACAGCTTTCGACGCTGTACTCCTCATTAAAATACCTTTCTGTCTTCCTATTAACACACTATAATTCATAAATATTTGTGTACATACATGCGGTATTTTTTATCCTATTATTTATGTCATATTTTTACTACATTAAGGTGGTGGAGATTTTTTTTCCAGCCACCTCCCCAGAACTGAAGAATATGAAAAATAAAGATATCCATATTTTTTCATTTTGAAATTGGCTAACATTTAACAATGCCGCCGGCCTTTGAAATTTTTCATATATTCCTTGTGGGGAAAAAAAATTTTGTTGTCGAACATTAATGTTTTTGGATCAAATGAAAATATTACCCTTCAAAACAATATTATTATCTATTATGCATATTTAACATAAAAATTTGGCTAACTACTCTTTCATGACCAATAATCTTATCCCTTATTTACAAGAATTATTCATTTTATTTGTTCGTAACCCCGTTACGCATGTCTAAAAAAATAACTTAAAAAAATGTTTGAGTTAAATTTGCATCAGAATTCTATTGATGGAAGATTTTTGAAGAGAAATATTTTTTGTTGATCAAAGAATATTTATTTTAACGACTTCATAGCAAATTTACGTATATACATATATATATATTTTCGCCACACTTAAACATAAAATACATGGAAAACTTTAAACACACGGCACATTTAATTATTAAGCGATTTCAAAATAAAAAATAGCGGTCTCCTTATTTCAAAATATCGATTTTCACTTTATTTTTGAACCACCCTAGCATACATATATATGTTTTTTGCATGTGCTTTGACTACTGATAACTTACCGTCTGCATTCAAACAACTATTGAAGCTACTAAAGTTAAATTTTTTTTGGGTGTGGTACGACTTTTTTTTT